CTGGTCAACATGGTGAAACCCCGTCTCTACTAAAACTACAAAAAATTAGCTGGGCATGGTGGTGTGTGCCTGTAATCCCAGCTACTCAGGAGGCTGAGGCAGGAGAATTGCCTGAACCCAGGAGACGGAGGTTGCAGTGAGCCGAGATCGCTCCATCGCACTCCAGCCTGGGTAACAAGAGCGAAACTCCGTCTCAAAAAAAAAAAAAAATAATAATCTCCCTTGCCCATTCATCATGCTCTCTATCCTTATCCCCAATCCCACCTTAACCCCGCAATGCCATATTTTCATCAGCATCACCATAAAATGTCATTTCATATTATTGCTGTTAGAGAGCTAAAAGAATAAATAAATCGAAATTTAAAATGTCCGGTGAATCTGTTCCATAGGCTATTTATACTTCAGGGGATAGGTAGACTTATTGATATAAATGTTTCCAAGCCACTCTGCTCACCTTTACACTCTCTGTCATCTTGCCACTCCTACAGAACCTATTCTACCTCTCTAGGTCTCTACCAATGTGTCTGCTGCTTGGCTTCACAGCTCTCTATAAGCTCACTTTTGTTTCTGAGCTAATCTTGGTTTTTACTCTTTCCCCTCTAATCTCAATCTAGCCAGCCTGAACTCTGCCCCAGTGGCCTTACCTGGGCATAAGCTATTTCCTCTGTCCAATACTCATTCTCCTATCCCTAGACTGTGGTATCCTGCAAGGCTCAGGTAACAATTCACCTGCGTCCCCACATAAATCTCTGATTCTTAAAGCTCACATATACACATTCCTGCATTCTGCTCTAAATGTTCCAAGCTGAATGTCTTCTTTCTCCAATGACTAGGTCAGCTCCAAGGTTAAGGATTCACTCTCAACTCCATTTGCATTTTTTCCTCAATGCTTTGCACATTACAAACAACTGTTCAAAACACTCGAGTATGACGTACACATATTAGCATTCCACCTGCCACATACGTACAGTGTTTACAAATTTGGTTCAGGGGAAGTCCAAACAGTCCATTTAGAATATGAACCATACTCTCCTTTCAGTTTCAAAAGAAGTTCTTTTCTTGTTGAATTAAGCTAGAAAATGGTCGGAGAGTAAACAAGCAACACGTAAGGGCATATATTCATCCTATGCTATGCAGGGTTTTCCAACCTCCTTTCTTCCAGTACACCTGTGGAATGCCAGCAATGTGCTTCACTCCGTGTGGGAGGAAAGGAAATGCAAAAGGAGTCTGCTGAAATTACAGCTGCTAAATATACATGGTGGAAAAGAAACACTAACAAACTTTGACCATAGGGGCACAGGGTGGAAAGAGGACTCCTCCATAGGCCTTCATGATGTCTGCTTCACATTTTTCTCAAATACCACTTGTAGCTTCCAAGCACGTGTCGCCTATGAAACGAAAGGCTGGCACGGTCCTATAGGCAATCCATCCATACTTTGCAGGTCCATCTGCTGCAGTAAGGAAATTACTTATTTTAGATGCTAGTTCGAAGGGGCTCTGATTCACACCCTTCCTCAGTGAATGTAACAATGCATAGTTTGGTTGGCTGGGGACAAGAAGGTGGCCACTTCCACCTTCAGCAGAAGCGCAGCACTGGAGGTAAGCATAACGCTGCCTCCATGTAAACATCCATTGAATGGACTCACTCCACTACCACCAGGAATGACACGAAGGCATCAGCTTAATACACACTAGCGTGTGCAGATATCCTTGGGTAGGACATTTCAACCAGCACTGAAAGCTTATCTAGCTCTTAGGAATCCAGCACCCAGGTGTTCCTACAACACTGGTGTGTACCTCGTCATGGTACTTTAAGAAAGACTCCCCTGTCCAGTCACGCCTGTAATCCCAGCACTTTAGAAGACCGAGGTGGGCGGCTCACCTGAGGTTAGGAGTTTGAGACGAGCCTGGCTAACATAGTGAAACCCTGTCTCTAAAAAAAAAAAAAAAAAAAAAAAAAAAAAAAAAAAAAAAGAAAAGACTCCCCAGTCGGAAAAAGTATTAAGGTCAGTGTCAGAAAGACATCAGAATAAATTAATAATTTTAGTCTAAAAATATTAAAACCCCTGAGGGGATGCAATCAAAGTTTTGGAAATCACAAATGGTATAGGAATGGTGACTATTGGTAAATTCAGAAGACTAAAACAAGGGATTAGGACATAAATTTCTTCAGATGTAAGTAAGACAAACACAAAAACAACTAATTCAAACATGAAACTCATTACTCCTAAGAGAATGAAGGCTTTAAGGAACTCATTACACCTAACTGAATGAAGGCTTTAAGAAAATGTTAGAGGAGTTCTCAGCTCAATAACGTGTGATTAGGGGAAAGAACAGCAGGGTGTCTGCAGGGCCAGGG